GGTCCAGTTGTGAGGATTTTTGTTTTCTTTTCATTGAGGTGTAATCCATACTGAAGGCTGTGGTCTTTGATCTTCATCAGTAAGTGCTTCAAGTCCTCTTGGCTTTCAGCAAGCAAGGTTGTGTCATCTGCATAATGCAGGTTGTTAATGAGTCTTCCTCCAATCCTGATGCCCTGTTCTTCTTCACGTAGTCCAGCTTCTTGGATTATCTGCTCAGTATATAGATTGAATAAGTATGGTGAAAGGATATAACCCTGACACACACCTTTTCTGATTTTAAACCACGCAGTATCCCCTTGTCCTGTTCAAATGGCTGCCTCTTGGTCTAAGTTCAGGTTCCTCATGAGCACAACTAAGTGTTCTGGAATTCCCATTCTTCTCAGGGTTATCCATAATTTGTTATGATCCAGTCAAATGCCTTTGCACAGTCAATAAAACACAGGTAAACATCTTGTATTCACTACTTTCAGCCAAGATCCATCTGACATCAGCAATGATATCCCTTGCTACATGTCCTCTTCTGAATCCAGCTTGAATTTCTGGCAGTTCCCTGTTGATGTACTGCTGCAACCGCTTTTGAATGATCTTCAGCAAAAATTTTACTTGTGTGTGATATTAATGATACTGTTTGATAATGTCTTCATTCTGTTGGATCATCTTTTTTTGGAATGGACACAAATATGGATCTCTTCCACTTAGTTGGCCAGGTAGCTGTATTCCAAATTTCTTGGCATAGACGAATGACCACCTGCAGCACTGCATCTGCTTATCTCAATTGGTATTCCATCAATTCCTGAAGCCTTGTTTTTCACCAATGCCTTCAGTGCAGCTTGGACCTATTCCTTCAGTACCATCGGTTCCTGATCATATGCTCCCTCCTGAAATGGTTGAATGTTGACCAATTCTTTTTGGTACAGTGACTCTGTGTATTCCTTCCATCTTCTTTTGATGCTTCCTGCATTGTTTAGTATTTTCCCTGTAGAATCCTTCAATATTGCAACTTAAGGCTTGAATTTTTTCTTATTTCAGCTTGAGAAATGCTGAGTGTGTTCTTCCCTTTTGGTTTTCCATCTCCAGTTCTTTGCACATTTCATTATAATACTTTACTTTGTCTTCCGGAGCTGACCTTTGAAATCTTCTGTTCAGCACTTTTACTTCATCATTTCTTCCATTTGCTTTAGCTACCTGACATTCAAGAGCAAGTTTCAGTCTCTTCTGACATCCATTTTAGTCTTTTCCTTCTTTCCTGTCTTTTTAATGACCTCTTGCTTTCTTCATGTATGATGTCTTTGATGTCATTCCACAACTCATCTGGTCTTCGGTCATTAGTGTTCAATGCATCAAATCTATTCTTGAGATGGCCTCTAAATTCAGGTGGGATATACTCAAGGTCATACTTTGGTCTCATGGACTTGTTCTAATTTTCTTCAGCTTCAACTTGAACTTGCATATGAGCAATGGATGGTCTGTTCCACAGTTGGCCCCTGGCGCATTGTTCTGACTGATGATACTGAACTTTTCCATTGTCTCTTTCCACAGATGTAGTCGATTTGATTCCTGTGTATTCCATCTGGCAAGGTCCATGTGTATAGTGGCCGTTTATGTTGTTGAAAAAAGGTATTTGCAATGAAGGTCATTGGTCTTGCAAATTTCTATCATGGGATCTCCAGCATCATTTCTATCCCCAAGGCCGTATTTTCCAACTACCGATCCTTCTTTGTTTCCAACTTTCACATTCCAACCGCCAGTAATTGTCAATGCATCTTGATTGCGTGTTTGATCCATTTCGGACTGCAGAAGCTGGAAAAATCTTCAATTTTTTCATCTTTGGGCTTAGTGGTTGCTGCATAAATTTGAATAATAGTCATATTAACTGGTTTTCCTTGTACGCGTATGGATATTATCCTATCGCCGACAGTGCTGTAGTTCAGGATAGATCTTGAAATGTCCTTTTTGACGATAAATGCAATGCCATTCCTCTTGAATTTGTTATTCCCCGCATAGTAGACCATATGATTTTCCAATTCAAAATGGCCAGTACCAGTCCATTTCAGCTCACTAATGCCTACGATATTGACGTTTATGGGTTCCATTTCATGTTTTGATGATTTCCAATTTTCCTTGATTCATACTTTGTACATTCCACGTTCTGATTATTAATGGATGTTTGCAGCTGTTTCTTCTCATTTTGAGTCATGCCACATCAGCAAATGAAGGTCCCAAAATCTTTACTCCAGCCACGTCATTAAGGTCGACTCTACTTTGAGGAGGCAGCTCTTTTCTAGTTGTCTTTTGAGTGCCTTCCAACCTGGGGGGGCTCATCTTCCGGCACTGTATCAGACAATGTTCTGCTGCTGTTCATAAGGTTTTCACTGGCTAGTTTTTTTCAGAAGTAGACTGCCAGGTCCTTCTTCCTAGTCTGTCTTAGTCTAGAAGGTCAGCTGAAACTTTTCCACCATGGGTGACCCTGCTGGTATTTGAAATACTGGTGGCAAAGCTTCCAGCATCACAGCAACCCACAAGCCAGCACAGCACGACAAGCTGACAGACGCGTGAGGCGCAGAACAAATATACACGAGGGGGCACTAAATGTTTGCTGTTATTGTCAGTGAAAAAGCGGAAGACGCTCAATGAGATGGACTGACACAGTGGCTGTAACAATGGGCTCAAACACAGCAATGATTGCAAGGATGGTGCAGGACCGGGCAGTGTTTCGTTCTGTTGTACAGAGTCGCTATGACAACATTATCATTTATCTTGAGAGCAACAGAAGTCCAGAAAGTTCCAGGAGCAATACTGGCAACAGCTCACTGCAAAAGTCTCCCGCATCCGAATGACCTCCCCGTTTACATTTATTTACGTATTTAGAATGTGGGTAACATTTTACAAGGGACAAAACTGCCACACGGGGACGAAAGCAGCACCAGGGTCCACCCCAGGAGCCGCAGCGCGCACCTAGCCGGAGTGGGGCCTCTGAGTCAACGTACCTTGCGCCGGAGAAAGCAAGAGATGCAAGACTTGAACATCCCGCCTCGCAGCTTCAGGACCCGGGTCAGAGGAGGCGGGCGGGACGGCCCAGGGTCCGGAAGTCGGCCTTACTTCCGTCACTTTGACCAGCGTTCTTTTTAGCCAATCAGCTGTGGGAAGGCGAGCCCGTCGGCCAATGGCGAGGCCGTCTCTGGGATCGAGGGCACGAAAGTCGTCCGCGCAAACCAATGGGCGTTGGGAATCCTCTCTCCGGGGGCAGGCATTGGCGGATACAGTGACGTCAGCGCGTCGCGGCTGTCGAGTCTGCTCGGCCGGGGATTGAGGAGGTGGCCGGTAGCGCGGCGGCTGACCAGCAGGGGTGTGGGGTCACCGAGGGTGCGGAGCGGATTCGGTGCGAGGCCAGCGGGCTGGGCAGGGGCTGGGGCGTCTCTTGAGGATCCTTGGGAGACGGGGAAGGAGAGGCTCTGGGGGTGGCTTCGTTTGGAGACCCCTTGGGTGACTGGGCCGGAGAAGGGGCTCGTTCGGGGCTTGCGAGGGGCGTGGCGGCCGCAGGGACGCTGGAGGAGGAACGTCTGGGGTCGGGAGACTTGGGGGTGCACCTAGGGGGCAACTGGGGTGGGCCCTCGGAGCTTGTGCTGAGGTTGGGGACATGGAGGGCAGGCGAAGGACGATGGAGGAGTCTCACTGTGGCCCTTTTGTGGGGGGAATGGAGGGGCCAAAGGAGGGCTGCTTAGGGGCGGGGGAGATTGCGCTGGGGGACCTTTGATATATGGAGGAGGTGCCTTCGAGGAGAGATGAGGAAGCGGTTACCTAGTCTTGCTAGGACAGTGGAAGGCTGGCGCCAGAGTGGGCCGAGGGCTTGAAGGAGCTTGGAAGCCATTATCCAGTGTCTGGGAAATCAGGACGGGCGAGAACAATGGTTAAGCGCTGGGCTGCTAACCAAGAGGTCAGTGGTTCAAACCCAGTGGGAGAAAAGCCCTGGCGATCTGCTCTAGTAAAAATTACAGTCTAGGAAACCCTATGGGGCAGTTCTACTCTGTCACATGGGGTCGCTATGGGTTGGAGTCTTTTTAATGGCACCTAATAACAAGAGACTGGGGGGCACCTCTCTGAGGAGGGTCTTAGGTGTGTGTGGGTGGATCAGGTCAGGGTGAGGAGGGGTTAAGGTAGCTGATGGGCAGGGAGATGGGGTTCTTTTGGGAGTAGAACTTACATCAGGAGTAAGGGTGTCCTGGGAAGTGGGGGCGGGAAGAGCGTGGGGAACATTCTGGAGTGTGTGAAGACTCTGGATGAGCAGCTTGGGGGAGTCTAGGAGAGGGAGGTAGAGAGGGAGATGAGCAGTGTGTGGGGGGCTGAGAGCACTGTGCGTAGGAGGGCTATGGGGGCAAAGGGGGCACGAACAGGCCCATACCGACCTTTTGGGGTGGTTATGATGTCAGGTGACACCTGAAGGTACCCAGCCCACTGAACTCTCAGGGTCCGAGGGTCCCCATGCACAACGGAATGAAACTCTGCTCTGTCCTGTGCCATCCGCATGATTGGTTGTGGATCAGACCATTGTGATCCAGAGGGTTTTCATGGGTTGATTTTCATAAACCAATCACCAGGCCTTTCTTCCTCATCCATCTCAGTCTGGAAGCCCCGCTGTCACCTTCGGAGCTTCATTGGGAGGGAGGTGAGGCAGCTGTTTGGAGGAATGGCTGTTTCCCTCTCTCCTCCAGGGTCACGGTGAGGGGCCGTCCCCCAGGTCCTGTCCCCAGGCTTCTGTGACTTGGTGTTCGCTGGAGTGGAAGCCACCGCAAGGCAGAGCTGCCACCATGTCTACATTCAGGCAGGAAGATGTGGAGGACCACTACGAGATGGGGGAGGAGCTGGGCAGGTGAGCAGTGGAAGGGGCTTGGGTGAGGGGGAAGAGGAGGGGGGGATTTCCTGTCCTTTATCCGACTTCTCAAGAAGAAATGAGTCAGTGTCATGCGCTGGTAGAGCAAGATCAGGTTTGGGAGTCAGGTGGTCCCGGCTGAGAATTCTTGCTGGGACATTCCTATGCATTTCTTCTGGGGAGAAACGTAACCGAGTACAGATAGTGCTTAACACAGTGCCTGGCATACAGTGTTGTTATTAGATGCCATCGAGTGGATTCCAACTCGTGTGACCCTATAGGACAGAGTAGAGCTGCCCCATAGGGTTTCCTAGGCTGTAATTTTTATGGGAGCAGATTGCCAGGTCTTCCTCCTGTGGAGCCACTGAGCCGGTTCGAACTGCATACAGTAGGAGAGCATTACAGCCAGTTGCCGTCGAATTGACTCCGATTCATGGTGAACCCATGTGTGTCAGAGTAGAACTGTGCTCCACAGGGTTTTCAATGGCTGATTTTTTTGGAGTTAGATTGCCAGGCCCTTCTTCCGAGGCCCCCCGGGTGAATTCGAACCTCCAGCCTTTTGGTTAGCAGCCGAGTGTGTTCACCGTGGGCACCTCCAGGGCCTCCGTGAGAGCAGTGGATGCTCGCTGCTTTCATTATTAAAGGTCCGGCGCTGTCTTCAGTCTTCTTACGTGGGAGACAGGGCCCTGAAGAGTTCCCTGAGCTCTGGCATGTTTAAAGGGACGGGCTCCTGGCTGGACACACACGCCTGCCCATTGTTTTGCATTCTTGTGGGGAAAAGCTGAGGTTTTCCCTTCCAGCCAGCCAGCTGATTTCCTGTCTGGATGGGCCCCCACCACGGCAGCCAGGTCCCCGCCCTGCCCGCCTTCTTTTCTGTGGCGCCTCCAACCTTATTTGGTGAGCTCTCTGCTGGGCGGCCTTCCTGGAGCCGCCTTGGCCAGCCCCGTGATGTCACCGGAAGGGAATGTAAATAACTGAGGCGTGTGTCAGGGCTGTGCAGCCTTAGATCCTTTAGGAATTTTCTCCATTAGAATGAGAGAGAAGACAGCCTCATTCCCATCCCGACCAGAGATATCTCATACTTTCTTGTGGAAAATGTGTGAGCACCTTCTGCCGGAGGGTACTGGTAGCTACTGTTGAGTCGGCCCCTGCCTCACGGCCACCCCGTGCACAGCGGGATGAAACACTGCCTGGACCTGTGCCAACCCCATCATCGGTTGCGGATCAGACCCTTGTGATCCGTAGGGTTTTCATTGGCTGCTTTTTCAGAAGCAGTTTGCCAGGCCTTTCTTCCTAGTATGCCTTAGCCTGGAAGCTCTGCTGAAACCTGTTCAGCATCCTAGCAACATGCAAGCCTCTACTGAGAGACAGGTGGGGGCTGCACGTAGGTGCATTGCCGGGAATTGAATCCGCGTCTCCCCCGTGGAAGGCGAGAATTCTGCGACTGAACCACCACTGCCCTCTAGAGGGACGGTATTTGCCGTCCAGTCGATTCCAACTCACAGCGACCCCATGCGACAGAGTAGAACTGCCCCGTAGGATTTCCTAGGCTGTCATCTTTATGGGAGCAGATCGCCAGGTCTTTCTCTCGCTGACCCGCGGGGTGGATTCCTTTCCGTTAGCAGCCGAGCATTAACTGTGACGCCACCAGGGCCCTTAGAGGAGCACCGAGCGGTAGGAAGGATGCGTCTGAGTGGTGTCGGAGGATGTACAGTTTCCTCTTCCACCAGCAGGGGGCGCGCGTCCTGTGCTGCCGGCACAGCCGAGCGGGTCATTGGCTCACCCCCGCCCACCTCCCCTCTCCCCTGCCCCCTCGGCGCCCTGCAGCGGCCAGTTTGCCATCGTGCGGAAGTGCAGGCAGAAAGGCACCGGGAAGGAGTACGCGGCCAAGTTCATCAAGAAGCGCCGCCTGTCGTCCAGCCGGCGGGGCGTGAGCCGCGAGGAGATCGAGCGGGAGGTGAACATCCTGCGGGAGATCCGGCACCCCAACATCATCACCCTGCACGACATCTTCGAGAACAAGACGGACGTGGTACTTATCCTGGAGCTGGTCTCCGGCGGCGAGCTGTTCGACTTCCTGGCCGAGAAGGAGTCGCTGACCGAGGATGAGGCCACGCAGTTCCTCAAGCAGATCCTGGACGGCGTCCACTATCTGCACTCCAAGCGCATCGCCCACTTCGACCTCAAGGTGAGCCATGTGGGCAGGGTGCCGCCCCTCACCCCTAAGGACGGAGCAGGAGGCGCTGGCCAGGTGGGAGAGGCTGGGGTCAGGAAGAGGTGTTCGGGATCCGAGGGACAGACATCCTCCCACCTCTGTCTTTTGTGAGCCGTGAGGCCTGGAGCAAGCCCTTCCTGAGCTCCACTTCTCTGTTTCGTGAAGACAATGTTACCTATTCGTTGTTGTTGTTGTTTTTAAATCACGTTTAATTGCATTTCTTTTTATTTTGGTGAAAATATACACAACAAAACCTTCACCATTTCTGCAGTTTTCACATGTACAATTCAGTGACGTTGATTACGTTCTCCAAGTTGTGCAACCATTCTCGCCCTCCTTTTCTGGATCGTTCACCACCATTAACCTAAACTGAATGCTGCCTGAACAAGAACCCCTCCTTTCCCCTCCCTCCACCCCGGTAGCCGCGAATAATCTCTGGCTTCTATGTACTTGCTTCACGTAAGTGAGCTCAAACAGTACCTGTCCTGTGGCTCCTGTTTTGCATGATGTTTTCGAGGTTCATCCACGTCGTGGTGTTCATCAGAACTTCATTTCTCTTGATGGCTGAGTAATATTCTCTTGTGTGGAGGGACCACACTTTTGTTTACTCATTCATCTGTTGATGGACACTCCAGTTGTTTTCACCTTTTGCCTATTGTGAAAAATGGCTGCGGTGAACGTTGGTGTACAGGTTTCTGTGTGGGTTTTGCCGCGTTTTAAAAAGAACTTTTTACGTTGGGATAAGTTTTGATTGCAGCGATAGTACAGAGAGTTTCTAGTTCCCGTCTACCCTTCACCCAGCCTCCCCCAATGTTAATGTCTCCCGTCACCACGAGCATTTCTCTGACTGAGAAGTTAACGTCGGTGCAGGACCATCGACTCAGCGCAGACTTTCTTGGGGCTTTACCACTTTTTTCACTCACGTTCTCTTACTGCCACGGGGTCCAATCCAGTATCTCCCACGCATTTAGTATCCACTGGGTTCTGAGGGGAGCCCTGGTGGCGCAGTGGTTACGAGTTGGGCTGCTAACCAAAAGGTCAGCAGTTCGAATCCACCAGCTGCTCTTTGGAAACCCTATGGGGCAGTTCTGCTCTCTCCTGTAGGGTCACTGTGAGTTGTAATTGACTTGATGGCAGTGGGTTTGGTTTGTTTTGGTTTGGGTTCTAAGGAAGATTTTTTTTTTTTAATGTTTCATTGTGTTTAAGGTGAAAGTTTACACAGCAAATCAGGTTCTCATTTAACAATTTCTACACAAATTATTCAGTGATATTGATTACGTTTTTCACAATGCATCAGCATTCTCTTTAATTGCATTCTGGTTGTTCCTTTTCCATTAATCTAGTTTCCCTGCCCCCTTATCTTCCCATCTTTACTTTAGAGTAATTGTTGACTTTTTGGTCTCATATAGATGTTTTTTTAATGGTGCATCGTGCTCATGAGTAATGTCCTTTATTTTGTGTGTCAATCTGTTATTTCACTAAAAGGTGACCTCAGGGGATAGTTTTGGTTCAAGGTTTAAAGATTATCTCAGGGCAATAGTCTCAGGGAGTCCTCTAGTCTCAACTGGTCCAGTAACTCGGGACTTTTTAAGCATTTGAATTTGGTTCCACATTTTTCTCTCATTCTATCAGGATCCGTCTATTGTGGCCCTAATCAGAACGGTCAGTAGTGGTAGCTGACATCATTGACCTTGTTAAAGCTGCATGCACTTGGCCCACATTCCATGCTGCCTTTCCCATCACCAAAAATAACAAGTGTGTACTATCTCAGGAGTGCTTTCCTGTCTCCCCCTCACCCATCCTTGGTAACCACCAGTGACTGTTGGTCTCAGTATATGTGTCTATTCTTGTCTTAAAAAAGTGAGATGATACGATACTTGCCCTTTTTTGATTGACTTATTCCATTCAGCATAATGTTCTCCAGATTCTTCCATGTTATACGATGTTTCGAGGACTCATCGTTGTTCTTAAATAGCTGCGTGTGTGTAGGTACCACATTTTGCTTATCCGTTCATCCGTCAAAGGACACTTAGGTTGTTTCCATTTTTTTGCTATTGTGAATAATGCTGCAGTGAACACCAGGTGTGCATATGTCTGTCCGTGTTGCTTTTATTAGATCTCCAGAGCGTATACGTAGGGTGCATACCGAGGATTGCTGGATCATAAGAGATTTCTGTTTCTAGCTTTTTGAGGAAGCGCCATACCGTTTTCCATAGTGGTTGTACCATTTACAGTCTCACCAGCAGTGGATAAGGGTTCCAGTCTCCCCACATCCTTGCCACATTTGTTGTTTTCTAGGTTTCTTTTTCCCCCCGCATTGGTGCCATTTTTGAAGGGGTGAGATGGTATCTCATTGTAGTTTTGATTTGCATCTGTCTAATGACTAATGTGAAAACTGGACAATGAGTAAGGAAGACCGAAGAAGAATTGATGCCTTTGAATTATGGTATTGGTGAAGAATGTTGAATATACCACATACTGCCAGAAGAACTGGTTTTCACCCATGCGTCTGTCCGTTTGTCGTGCCGTGGGGGCTTGCATGTTGCTGTGATGCTGGAAGCTATGCCACCGGTATTCAAATACCAGCAGGGTCACCCATGGCAGACAGGTTTCAGCAGAGCTTCCAGACTAACAAATCTGTCTTGGAAGAAGTACAACCAGAATGCTCCTTAGAAGCAAGGATGGCAAGACTACGTCTCAAATACTTTGGGCACGTTATCAGGAGGGATCAGTCCCTGGAGAAGGACATCATGCTTGGTAAAGTAGAGGGTCAGGGAGAAAGAGGAAGACGCCCATTGAGATGGATTGACACAGTGGCTGCAACAATGGGCTCAAACATAACGATTGTGAGGATAGCACAGGACCAGGCAGTGTTTTGTTCTGTTGTACACGGGGTCGTTATGGGTCGGAACCGACTTGACAGCACCTAACAACAACAGCTAATGATCACGAGCATCTTTTCGTGTGTTTGTTGGCCACGTGAGTGTTCTCTTTGGTTAAGTGTCTGTTCATGTCCTTTGCCCTTTTTTTAGTGGGATTGTTCGTCTTTTTGTTGTTGAGTTTTTGAAGTTTTCTGCATATCTTAGAGATTAGGCCCTTATTGGATATGTCATTCCCAAAGGTTTTTTCCCAGTCTGTACGTTGTCTTTTTACTCTTTTGATGAAGTCTTTTATTTGTTTATTATATAATTTATCTTTTTGTTGTCAAGAATATACACAGCAAAAACATACACCCATTTAAATTTCTACATTGATGACCTGTAAGAGGCAGTCATTCGAACAGAACAAGGGGATACTGTGTGGTTTAAAATCAGAAAAAGTGTGCATCAGGGTTGTATCCTTTTACTATATTTATTCAATCTGTATGCTGAGCAAATAATCCAAGAAGCTGGACTGTATGAAGAAGAACAGGGCATCAGGATTGGAGGAAGACTCATTAACCACCTGCGATATGCAGATGACACAACCTTGCTTGCTGAAAGCGAAGAGGACTTGAAGCACTTACTGATGAAGATCAAAGACTACAGCCTTCAGTATGGATTACACCTCAACATAAAGAAAACAAAAAATCCTCACAACTGGACCAAGAAGCAACATCATGATAAATGGAGAAAAGATTGAAGTTGTCAAGGATTTCATTTTACTTGGATCCACAGTCAACACCCATGGAAAAGCAGCAGTCAAGAAATCAAAAGATGCATTGCATTGGGCAAATCTGCTACAAAAGACCTTTTTAATAAAAGTGTTGAAAAGCAAAGATGTCATTTGAAGAGCAAGGTGTGCCTGACCGAAGCCACATTGCTTTCAGTTGGCTCATATGCATCTGAAAGCTGGACAGTGAATAAGGAAGACCAAAGAATTGACACCTTTGAATTATGGTGTTAGCGAAGAATATACCATGGACTGCCAGAAGAACGAACAAATCTGCCTTGGAAGAAGTACAGCCAGAATGCTTCTTAGAAGCAAGGATGGCGAGACTACATCTCACATACTTTGGCCGTGTTATCAAGAGGAATCAGTCCCTGGAGAAGGACATCGTGCTTGCAGAGTAGAGGGTGAGCGAAAGAGAGGAAGACCCTCCATGAGATGGATTGACACAGTGGCTGCAACAATGGGCTCAAGCATAACAACCTCTGTGGGCGTGGCCCAGGACCGGGCAGTGTTTCGTTCTGTTGTACACGGGGTCACTGTGAGTCGGAGTCACTCGATGGCACCTAACAACAACAACACAGTGACAGTCTTTTTTGACGAGTATAAGTGTTTAATTTGAAGAGGTCCCAGTTATCTAATTTGTCTTCTGTTGTTTGTTCATTTTTGGTTGTGTTTGGTAATAAAAAACTAGCCCCTTAGTTTTGTCCCTATGTTATCTTCCAGGAACTTTATATATATTCTTAGCTTTAACATTTAGGTCTTTGACCCATTTTGAGTTAGTTTTTGTGTATGGTGCGAGGTATGGATCCTTGAGAAATATTTCTGTAAAAAAATTGTTCATTGCAGTAAAAAATATATATATATAACAACGCCCTTGCCAATGTAACAATTTTTCACATGTACATTTCAGTGACACTGATGACATTCATCATCTTGTACAGTCAAAACCACTGTTCCTTTCCAGATTATTCCACTGCATTAATGTAAACTCGTTGCCTCCTAAGCAGCCCTCCCCTTTCCCCCTCCCTCTGCCCCTCCCATTAAAAACCCACTGCCACAGAGTCGATTCCAACTCATAGCGACCCTATAGGACAGAGCAGAACTGCCCCATAGGGTTTCCAAGGCTGTCATCTTTATGGAAGCAGACTGCCACGTCTTTCTCCTGCAGAGTGGCTGGTGGGTTAGAACCAATGACCTTTTGGTTAGCAGCTGAGTGCTTAACCACTGCGCCACCAGGGCTCCTCCCCTCTGTCCTTGGTAACCACTAATAAAGGTTGGCCTCTGTGCATTTGCCTATTCTAGATACGTCATATGAGTGGAGTTGTATGATACGTCCTTTAGTGACTGACTTCACTCACTGCAGTGTTTCTGGTACCTGGGTGGAGCAGTGGTTAAGCGCTCGACTACTAGCCTAAAGGTTGGCGGTTTGAGCCCACCCAGAGGCGCCTCGGAAGACAGGCCTGGCGGTCTGCTCCTGAAAGGTCACAGCCTTGAAAACCCTGTGGGGCAGTTCTCCTCTGCACACGTGGGGGCACCTGGAGTCGGAATCGACTGACAACAGCAGCAGTGTTTTCCGGGGAAGCGTTTTGAGCTGACACGCAGGCGTCCCCTCTGGAGGCGGCAGACACACGGTATGAGGCCTCGCTGCCGTGTGGCCAGTGCTGGTGGAAGGGCCTTGGTCACGCTGCAGATACTCAGTTTACTGTCCGTGTCATCTAACGTGTGTGTAATCCTTGAAAACGGCACAGTCCAGTCAACATTAAATACAAACGATGAAACTTGGTTGAAACGAGCGTGCCACTTTGAGGTCTCCCGCGCGCCGTGCCTTCGAGGCCCGCTGGAGGGCAGCCTGGTCTCACATGACAGAAAAGGCCAGCTGAGACCGTCTTCCTCAGACCAGGGTCTCCTCAACTTACAAAAGCCAAACCCAACCCCGTTGCCATCGAGTCAGTTCCGACTCATGACGCTCCCATTTATGACAGAACTGCCCCATAGGGTTTTCTTGGCTGTAATCTTTACGGAAGCAGATCGCCAGGCCTTTCTTCTGCAGCGCTGTTGGATGGGTGGGTTTGAACCGCCAGCCTTCTGGTGAGCAACTGAGTGCAAACTGTTCACGCCACCAGGCTTCTTAAAAACCACGGCTGATCTGGGTATGATCAGTCCCGGTCACAGTCTCAGGCGGCTCCCTGAGACCCCAGGCACCCTGGTCCCAAGTTCAAGTCCGGCAGCTGCTGCCTCCCCCACCAGCTCCACAGGAAGCCTGGGCCCGGCCTCATGGGCACAGACCACGTGTCCCCCAGCCAGTTGCCACCCAGGGGGCATAGGCTCGGGGCCTGCGGGGTGTGGTCAGCCCACCCTCGCGGTCTGAGAGAGGAGGAGGGCACTCCCAGGGAAAATCGGGGTGCTGTGCTGTCAGTCACAGAGCTTCCCACAGACCTGCCCTGCCCCCGCAGCCAGAGAACATCATGCTCCTGGACAAGGACGTGCCTAACCCACGCATCAAGCTCATCGACTTCGGCATCGCCCACAAGATTGAGGCTGGGAACGAGTTCAAGAACATCTTCGGCACCCCCGAGTTCGTGGGTGAGGCCTTCGGGGTGTGATGGGGGCCCAGGGCTGGGGAGGTGGGCACTGAGGCTTTCTAGCGGAGCATGGGGAGCACAGGGCCCTGGCCTCTCATGCCTGGGCCCCAGCCCGAAGTTTTCCCCTCCCCCTACAATGCGGTGATGGAGTTCTCTGCAAGGTGTGGACCCCAAGTCTGTGTGCCCCATAGGACGTGACGGTGGGGGCTGTACCTGCCCCAGATGGCCTAAGCGCCTGACCCTTTTCTGTCTTCTGTGCCCTCAGCTCCCGAGATTGTCAACTATGAGCCCCTGGGGCTGGAGGCCGACATGTGGTGAGTGTCAGGGCAGCTGGGGGCTTTGCCTGCCCACGCCGCCTCCCTCAGTAATGGTACCCCCTGCTCCTGGCCCTCAGCACCCCCGGAGCTGCAGGCCGGCAGGGGTCCTGATGCTGACGGGCGGGGGATGACGGGTTTATCGCCTCGGGAGCAGGGTCGGCAAACTCCAGCCTGCGGGGCAGATCCCCCCCACGGCCTGCTTTGTAGGGCCCACAGCTACGAATGGTCTTTCATTTTTAAAGAGTCGTTTATAAAACAAAACAACTGAAAAACCCAAAGCCTGTGTGATGGAGACGTTTGTGGCCCGCAGAGCCTGAGATGTTCGCTGTCTGACCCTTTATACAGCGTTTGCCGACCCTGCCTTAGAGCACGGAGCCCGTAGCGGGTTTCCTCCACCTGCCTGGGCGGGCAGACGAAGCCTGCTCGCCAGACCCAGCGGTCTGGCGGTCCACCCGCCCCACCGCGGCGGAGATCGAGGCCTGACGCTAGAGCTGGGTGGGGGCCCGGTCTGCTCACTGTGGGAGCACAGTCGGCCCCCGGGAGGCAGGGCCTGGAGGCAGAGCTGGGGTCCTGCAGGCAGAGCTGGGGGTCCTGCAAGTCCTGGGGTCCCACTCCTGCTGCCGGCCCGGCCCAAGCCGGTCCGTCGCCTTCAGAGAGCGGGGGCGTGAGCTTCTGTCTGGGGGCCGGGCACTGCGTCCCCACGACTGAGCTGAGCCGTCCGTCCGTTGTCGTCTCTTCTGCAGGAGCATCGGCGTCATCACCTACATCCTGTGAGTGCCAGGGGCTTGCGTG